AGTCATAGCTTTCTAGGAATGGCAGGAGTTGCATGTTGCATTTGCGACAAGGAGATGCATTGTCTGCTTTACTATCTAGCACTTCATAGTGTAATAAAGAAGCTGGATATTAATGGAGATATATTGCACAAACAAATTTGTGCTTACACAGATGATATCTGCTTAATATCAAGGAATAAACAATACCTTATTGATATGTGTGAAGTATTAAAAGCTGAGGGTGAAGGTATTGGACTAAAAACCATGAAAATAAAACAAAATGTATATTGTTACTTAAGAACAAGACAAGATAAAATGGTAGAATGATACTGCTTTGAAAACGTAAAAGCTTTTATGTATCTAGGTGCAGAACTCAACTCTGAAACTTAATTTTGACAGAATTGCAAAGAAGGATTATGGCTAGTAACCAAGCTTATTTTGCCAATTTAAAATTCTTCCGGTCAACATTATTGTCACAAGCAATAAAAATATAATTGTATAAAACGTTAATAAGGTATATTGTGACATATTCAGCGAAAACATGGATCTTCTGTAACTCTACAATAAATGCATTAAACATTTTGGAAAGAAAAAATTTAAGGAGAATATATAGACCAATATTGGATGAGGGTGAATGGAGAAGCCAGAAAAATAGCAAATTATATAAGTTAAATTTTTAAATCTTGTGGTGAATATCTGAATGGTAGGATTTACAACTGAATTTTTGATATCTGTAATAACAAAAGTATGCCTAAAAAATTGGTATTCGGGACTGATAATACTAATTTTTAAAAAAGGAGATAAAACCATTTGCTAAAACTACTAAATTATAAAAGTTTTAAATGTAGCATAAACATTTAATCTAGTCTTTTGGCTGTAAGACTTAAAATTTATTTAGATCAGATTCTGACAGATTATCAAAGTGTTTGATAAAAATGACAATGTTCCGAACACAGGCCAGTGTACTCGATAACCAGATAAGCAGAAGGATATAGTTGACCTCTAGAGTAAGACAAGGAGAAGCCCTCTTATACCTAGTGCTGCACAAAACTCATATTGATCAAAACGTCAGAATGCCAATCATACCAGATTTTTGGTTACTCAGATGACGTGAATTTGGCAAAAAGAGAAGTACTCATTAACCTGAACCATGAAAGTAAAAAAATTGGACTCGAGATGAATGAGTCAAAGAAGATATACATGGTAATATCAACTTCCGAAGCAAGAAGAAGGCCATGTAATTTTATATATAACTATTACACCTTAGAAGTCGTTGATCATTTTGCATATCTTGATGCAATTAAATCTGAAATTAACTCCTAAAAAAAAAAAAAGACAACAGTACCAAACCTTTACAACATGGCCTTCTTCTTGCTTCCGAAGTTGATATTATCATGTATTTAGTTTTTGACTAGAGCCTGAATGTGCTCGAGAAGGGTCTTCTGACCCTAGTGCCGTTCCACAGCTGCTTAACAGAATAAATAATTACCTGTTATCAGCCAGATTTGAACCCAGAACCTTTGAACCAGAAGCTTTGAAAGTCGATGCCCTACCCTATCCATATATCTATGATCTATGTATACCCCAATCCAAAATCATGAGGATGTATAAAAATGGAATATTTCTATAAATTATTTTATTCACCCAAATTTAACCTTAATATTTCTGTGATCTGTAAACTTTATTTTGTTCCAAAAAATCAAATGTTCTTTTTAAAAAAGATGTTCAATATTAGAACCCCACACAAGGAGTAAGAAAAATGATGAAAAAAAATATACGAGAATTTCTTCCAGTACCAAAGAATCATGTTTATTTAAGGCACTGGAATGGGGAAAGGATGAGTGAGCTCACCAAACCTACCAGTCAACTCATTTAGGGGCCCTTACAAAGTCAATATTGAACTTCTCTCGTATGCATTTATTTAGTAGCTTATTATATGTGTTAAAATAAAAAGTAGAACATGTGATTGTATAAGGCTTTAGCTCAGATTACTCACAGAAACAAATACAGACCAACAAAAAAAAAATAAATTTCTTTATTTTCGGAGAGGAGGAGGGGATGGGTCTTCATCCGCCGCTGGTTTCTGTGAAACACACTCACACAAGAACTGAAACATTTCAGGAATATATTTCCTGGAGAGATCTTATTTCCATAATGATAATAATAATAAAAAACATTTGAAACCAGTAGCAGGTGTAATACAAGTAGGGTGAGGAGTTCTTAATGATTACTCTGGGTTAAGCAACCAAAATTCAACAAGTAACTTGTTCACCATAGGAAATTTCTTTTCATTACTAGTAAGCAAATTTTTCATGTCATCTATTGAAGCTCGTAATATATTATGCTTGCAGTCAGTAAATAATCTTTTGTTAAATTCTCTTTCAGTAAACACTATAAATTGAGAATTTATTCTCACAAGAGACATATTTTGAAATTATATTAATTAATTGGGCCGGTCCAAAGTACATTATAAAATAGTGGCCCAAGATACAATGATATGATGTATTTTGCTTAGAGCTTGCATTCAAAAGAAGATAAACAGATTGATATACATCAATCAACTAATAATTTTGAATATATTTATGCACCCTTTTGATGATGATGAAAATTACTTTTTCAACTCTAAAACACTCTTATCAAAAAACGGAGTGGTTAAGAGACAACAAAATCAGGAGAAAAGTGTTCTGGCAGCGCGTCCTGCTCAATGTTGACACAAATTCTGAATTTCCTCCAGTGAAATTTCTTATTCTTAGGGTGGTCCAAGGTACAGGTATTTCCCCCATAGTCTATGGATGTCATTTGTTTAAAGATCCATAAAAATAAGGCATCATTTTGCATCATATATCATTAAGCCCATTAACATATTAATTTTCATTAAAAGCACTTAACTCTTAATATTCCTAATTATACAACAGGAAATTTTGAAGTATGGCCAACAATCTAAAAAAAAATATTTGATTTAAAAAAAAAAACTACAGAAATTGGGAAATTCTATCCACCCTAAGGGAATGTACTTCTATAACTACTTAGACACCTTAGTAAATTGACATTTACGAATATTTAAACTTGGTGTAGTAACACAATCTAAACAAAACTCAAGACTCTTTCGGATGTTTATATGTACCGATATATGGAACGAAATCTATTTGCCCAGAGCTGTAATATATGGTGAAAAGTACCCGACTACTACACCAAATGTCATTTTCTCTATCAATCTATCAAGATGGCACCCAACCGAAATGCCTTAAGGTGGATAAAGTTTCCTAATTTCTGTAGTTTTTTTTTAAATCAAATATTTTTTTATTCTATCACGGGTGTTTTGAGCTCAAATCGTTTTTAAAGCACTAACAGGATCTCAATGTATATTTTGAGCCATCAAAATTAAAATTCATTCAGCCATTCGCTCAAAAAATAATCACATATCTTTCAGCATACAATCCAAACAGATAACACTCGCTTTGTTTCACTTTTAAAACACTCAGAGGATATTACTAAATAATTTGATATCAAACTTAAAAATTGATCCATCCGTTTGCTCAAAAAATCGCTACATAGCTTACAGCAAAACTATTTAACACATATCATTTAATCATGTTCAAGTATTTTTCACATGTTTGCACTTGCACATAAGTTCCTGACACAGGGATACATAACACCTCCACTTTTTTTTTTTTCAGACCTCCACTCCAGAATGTTTTTTTAGAGAGCGGGGTAGCTCAGTGGTACGGCACTAAGTTTACAATACTGAAGGCTCCAGGTTCGAATCCAGACTCAAGCCAGAAAAATTATTTATTCTGTTTCATGGGCCGTAGGGCGATCCTTGGGTAGGGAGACCCTCCTGGGGCACTGATGAATGAGGTATCAAACGAAAGAGAATTTCATGGAGCAGCGACGAATTATAGTCCCATCCTACCAAAACTTCATGAAAAAAAGTTTTGAAGTTTTGAATAAAAGAAACTTTATTTGCAAATGGCTCAAAAAGTATACTACAAAACAAAAAAAAATTCATTGAAATCGGAGCAAAGATACAGCCTGTAGTAATATAGTGAATACTTAATAATTGACCGTTGTATTATTAAGGAAGGAGATGGACTGGGGTATGCCAGTCATAAATAGACTAAATAGTGGCAAAACTATTATATTAAAAGCTAACGTTTCGACCCAATTTTGCAGGTCTTCTTCAAGGAGGTGTGTTCAGCAAGAAGTTTCACTTAGAACTGTGTTTTGTATAGTAATGTACACATGTTTTGGGTTATTATTATTAATGAACTAATGTGATTCAACTGAGAAAAGAAAATTGCTTCCTCTATCTCATAATACATTGATCGGGAGATGTGGTCAACAATCTACCGATTTATCTTAGAGGGTGTTCGTTATAGTGATAAAATGCTATATTACTCAATAAAATGGTTTTTAAAAAATAAAGGGTGAAAAATGACAAGAGTACAAACAATGAAAAGTAGGCTATAAATAAATATTGTACTAAGATAGTGTTTGATTTTGTATCACACTCCCAATTTAACTATCCCTTAAATTAAAACTATGAACAATCATTTCCTTATTATCTTGTTACATTATAGTTCTAAAACATTATAAACACAATACTGCTGCTTTTCTATATTAGTAAAACAACATAGAAAACAAAAAATTATTTTGTATTGGATTTATTCCAAAGAAAGTGAAGTTTCAACATTCAGAACAAAACATTCTCATTTACCCCTAGGCACTGGAGGGCAGATGTGCTGTCAACAAGCTTTACCAAATATTTCATAAATGGCGTTATAATGTTTCATAGCAATCAAGTCATTTTTTAAAATTTGTCACTATCAAAACAAAGCAGCGATGTCTGAATTTTTTTTCATTCTTGACAGAATTATAAATACTTTATTTGAGTACGTAAAAATTTGAAAATTAACCATTAAAAATAAATTCTAATATCACTAATGTATACATAGAGAATTTTTTAAAATAACATAGTTCATTTTTATACTATAAAGGATTGATTAAATATATAACCTCACCTGGTATGTTCTTCTGCTCAATTGATAAGTTTTCATCAATTTCATTTTGTTTAGATTGATCACTATTTTTTTCAAGCTTTAACAGATCACCATCTTCACTACTTAAATTTACACTATCTTTAGATAATGTCGGATTCACATGTGAAGTATCTTCCGGTAAATTATTTTCTATAACAATATCGGCTATTTTTATTTCATTCAAATCACGGTTTTCTTCCCTTATACATGAGGACAATGATGGTAAGGATGGATTTTTAGAACAATTGTCTGAAATAATTAGATCACCTATAGTATTAGCCAACTCCATGTCTCTAATCTGATGGAATTCAGAAAATATATTATTTCTAGTATCATATTCTTTTCGCTCTGGGGCAATAGTGAAAGGAGATACTTTCTGTTTGTTTGAGGTAGTAACACAACTGTCAAGTACTTTAGATTTTATTTTATCATGATTAACTGTATCTGAAACCAAGACTAAACCACCAACTTCGTTAATATTTGTTTTAGATCCAACTTCTATATTGTCAATTAATTTATTCTTTTCTACAAAAGATGGTTTTGTATAATAAATACTATTTACATCCTTAGGTGATTCCAAGCTGATTTTATCGTCCTCAAATTTAGTGTCCGGAATAGTGAAAGAAAGTTCATTTTCATTAGAAAACTTTCCTGAATTTTCAATGCTTTCATTTCGCTGAATTTCTACAGGCTTACTAGAGTTTAAATCTTTTTCAAACAAGTTAATAATGGTTGACAATGGCCCCTCTTCTAACATGTCACTTTTTAATATGCTGTCAGCTGAACTTATAGTTATTTCCTTATCAATAATACCTCCATCTAATATATCAGCACAAGGCAAAACTCCCAAAATATCAATTGTGGGTGGAATTTCTTTTATAAATGGATCAAGTGAAGGAACTGATTCATCATATGAATTTGTTTGGGGTTTATCAAGATCAAGATCAGTTAGAGGATTATCTAAAGTTTTGAAACTGCTATCGGATAACAAATCAATTTCTGTTGCCTGTTCCTCTAATTCTTTTACATTAACATTATGCACAACTTGTTTTATAGGAGTTACTGTATTATTAATTCTTGATCCACTAAAAGGTTTGTCATAAATTAATTTTCTTTTATGTACAGGTTTTTTATTATTATTTGACGGTGATGAAAATTCCTTAATAGGTAACCGCTGACATGATCTTAATCGTGTTGCAGTAACGCGCGTAGATGTTTGTTTTCTGCCCATATCTTTACGATCAGGTGTTTTAGAAGTTTCCCCTGTATTATTTATATTAATTGGCTCTTCACCTGTAGGTGACTGAAGACTTGGCATACTTGGAAGAGTTGGCATATTGGTAGAGCCATTATTCTTCAAACCTTTCCTTCTTTCACTAACAATTATTTTATCTGATTTTACATTACATACTGTATTACAATGAATATTACTTTTATTATCAGACACCATTGGTTGCCCATTAAGTATAATCTCATTTTGAGTGTTATATGACTTATCTGATCCAGGGTCATAGGCTTCTTCATCACAATCAAATATGTTGGTGAAAGATTCATCGGGAACTTTATTAACTGAATGGATCTGAACTGTTAATGGCAAACTGTTAATATTCTTACTCACATGTTTTATACTTTTTTGTGGAATTCTATAATGATTTCCAGAACTAATTCCTATAACTTCTCTTTTAATATAGTTAGAATTATCAACTAAACCATTTAATTTTGTTGGATTAGCCTTAGTTTTCAAACCATGAGTCGAAATAACTGTAGGAAAAGATTCTTGTTTTTTTATCATACTTTTAGGAGCATTTCTTACGCTATCTAGGCAATGAGATCTTAACCTGTTCTGCGTAATTACTTTAGTGTGTGGATTTAATGGTTTTTGATTGTTAGAAAGAATAGAAACTCCAGAAATATTGCTCACTTGGTTGTCAATATTCAAATTGTTTTCATGATTAAAAGGACGAACAACTCCTACAGCTTGTTCATTAACATTGACTGTAATAAATTTTATAGGAACTTCAGGAATTAAATGTGGAGGTGATCTAGGAACATCATGAGGTGTAGTTCTTACTTCAGTTTCATTTTCTAATTTGGGCATCTCTTGTACCAAATCTTGTGAGTCATTATTATCATCATCAGCTAAATTGGGACCAATTGATTCATAATAATACTTTAATGAATCTGATCTCCTCAAGTTTTTACTATGAGGCACAATACTCTTGTAAACAATAGAAGATGTAGTTTCAACCCGGTTTACATTTTGGGGAGAATTTGTAACTAGCTTTATAAATGTCTTATTATCTTCTTTAAACTTTTGAATACTTGCACATTTATTAGGTGCAGGGAGTTCCTCAACAGAATCATCTCTACTGATATTATTAAAGCAATTGGTGCCATAATTTAACTTCCTAGAATCAATCAATGAATTAATAGGAAGCTGTTCAAATTGTTCTCTGTTTTCAAGATCATCCAGCACTTCTTCCGTAGATATATCATCAGCATCTAAGATATAATCATTAACAGATATTTCATTATCAAGACAAATTTCTTCAGCTGTGGCTGCAGCATATCCATATTGATGGTCAGTTTCAAAGTGAACATTATGGGCCACACCAACTGGTTTAGATAATGGACTTACATTTATTCCTGCATCTCTGTTGTCTCCATATACATTGGTATCACATTCTTCTTGATCCACACTTTCGGATTCAGGATAATTAGTAGCTCCAACATTTGATGAGCCAACTCTTGTTCTTTCTAACATACCTTTGATAGCTGCTTCGACAACAATATCATTGCCATTGTTTCTGTTATGTTGAAGGCCGAAATCATCTTCTTCATCAGGAAAAGGCCCTCTACTGATGGACAAATCCATTTACATAAACCTCACTGGATATACAACCTTCATCAAAAAATGTCCAATGTAGCATCTCCTTACCAACTATAAGAATACATTTTCATATATACAAGAAAAATGCCATAATATTTAAAGTTGCAGAAGCTTTTTAAAGGCATTGTTTATTCTGTCAAACATGTACACAGCATTTGCTATCGCAGCTTTAAAATAGGTGAATTCCACATGATGGCGAGAACAATATACTTAACAATAACAACACTTTAATAAACACAACACAAACTACTCAGTTTACTAATGTCAATCAAAATATCACCAAGTTGTTTAAAAAATAAACAAAACTGACATTTACACTCTTATGCTAATCTCTTTTCAGGAATGTAGCAACACAATTATAAATCTAACTTGGCCCTTTAAGATCTTTATTCCCAAAATAATTAACTACCCATTCATAATATTATCTTCTAATGCGTTTCACAGGTTACTAAATGGAGACGAGTTAACTGTCAACCTCCCCAAATGCACTGCCCTTTCGATAGTGATGTTTCACCGGCATTACCATACATTATCATTAATTGGTAATAATTCCAAAAATGAAAAAAAAACTTACATTAAATATTAGAATAAAATATGTTTAATGCTAGCAGTTATTAAGTTGAAATCGCAAATTGATCAGCAAAAACTATTATAATCAAATTTAAATTATAAACTAAGGGCATAATAATATACTATCATCAGATGTCACACCAAGAAAAATAAGAGTGACGTTTTAGTTTTGGAGTTAATCATGAAAAATTATTTCTTTCCTAGGAAAATGAATGGAATAGGTAGGATAGCCTTTACAAAGAATACTCATATAACGAGAATCCTCAAATGATAATGATGTGAGTAATAATTTTAATAGAATATATAAATAAGTATTTACAAATCTATTTTAAAAAAATACAATTATTAAAGTTTTTTAAATTAGCAAGTTCCTAAACTCAGCACAGATCTCATCGATGGCTTCGTTTCGCGTTTTTGATTGATCTGATACCATTGATGAGCTCAGCGCTAAGTTTAGGAGCTTGCTCAATTCAATTTAAAATAATGTTATCATGATCAAATGAGTAGCTTTCATAACCTTCTACCAATTGAACCGTATATATGATTAGTTTGAAGAATGTGATAGTGTAGTTGATAATAGAAGTTTAAGATCAGCAGAAAATGTTAAGATCGTGTTTAAGATGTAAGCAAATATTTAGGACCATAATTGTATATAACTGCTCGTGAGTTACTGAACTGTTTTGTTTCTTTTTTTAGCTGCCTGGAATGTAGTTTCTTCACCAGGACTGCAGTGCAGTTATGCTGGTTTAAAAACATTAAGTAAAACTATTTTGAAGCCTAATAGTCATAATATTTCATATTTTTCGAAAACTATCTCCATTCAGCCTTCTATCAATGAGTAAGTGAATTCCTCAATAATATATACATATTTTAAAACGGCATAAATACACACATTTATGTGTATTTATGGATAGCTGGGAATCATTGTTACATAACTCATATTATTTATTATTGCAAGATTAGTTTTTCTATTTGTCTTAAAAAATATAACACCTTGTGTACAAACATGGAAACAATTAGTAAAAAGAGTTATTTTACTACAATTCTAAATTCCTTGACACCTAACGAAAAATAAACAATTAAATAAGAATTAGAAAATTGTGAATTCCTCTTCCACCACTTGAGCAGATTGAAATTAATTTTCTTCACATCTTGAATAGAATATCACCTATGCAAAATTTAATCATAAAGTTTCACAATTCTGTATTAAGAAGTAGTAGAAAGAGGAAGGTGCTGTTTATATATATATATAAACAGCACCTTCCTCTTTCTACTACTTCTTAATACAGAATTGTGAAACTTTATGATTAAATTTTGCATAGGTGATATTCTATTCAAGATGTGAAGAAAATTAATTTCAATCTGCTCAAGTGGTGGAAGAGGAATTCACAATTTTCTAATTCTTATTTAATTGTTTATTTTTCGTTAGGTGTCAAGTTATTTAGAATTGTAGTAAAATAACTCTTTTTACTAATTGTTTTTATTTTTTACTAATATATATATATATATATATATATATATATAATTTTCTCGTTTTGAATGTTGCATGTTTCTTCAAAAAGTTCTGAAATTAAGTTGTAAGGGATTGGAAAAGTGATAGGTAGCTTTTCAAAATTTTGTTAAGACAGTGAGTGATCTTTTTCTTGTTTTTTAAGTTCTTATATGCCAAATTAAATTTAAATTGGTACCAGTTCCGTTTCATTACTCTAAGTTGGCCAGTTCCAAGATCACCCAGAACATGCTATTTCTGGATATACGTTGTAGTTATTAATGTGAGTATCAAATTGGAGAGAGTGATTATCAATTTGACAAATTATATTTATTTCAATTTTTTTTATCATTATTTAACAACATTGAATCATTTTAATAATAATGTTCAACAACACTCCAAGTGTTGTATGCAACTTAATTTTTCATTTACTCAAAAGGTGGCATAAGTATTTTGACTATGTTTACTTTATCATTCCACACTTTGTACCTGTTATTATTATTTGTCTCTTGTTCTTACTATTGTCATTATTCTAACAACTTCATTTTACTGTAATTTTTATGTTTCTCATACCTTGTTATCTGGTTCTTTTCTTAGTCCTGATGATGGCCTGAACTTCAGGTCGAAACGTTGGCAAATGACAAAATAAATATTATCATTTTTTTTTTTGCCTTCTTATTTGACTGATCACCCCAACTATTCTTCTTCTCATTATTCACGACAGTCAACTATTTAACCACTATTATAATATTGCTGTTTAATATTGTCACTCGTGACCAAGAGAACACATAGGCCTAAAACCAGATGGATAGATCGAATCAACAAAGATGCAAATAGAGTTGCTTATAGATAACTGAAAAGAAATATCACAAGATAGGCAGAGATGGAGAAGGCTGGTTAGACGGCAAAAAATCTACAAAGTCAATAAATTCTGTATTGCCAACAAAAAAAAATGAAAAAGTTTCCCCACTATTGCTTATACTTATAATAAATTAGGAAGAAGATATCTTATGTGAGAGTTCTTGCATAGGTATATTAATTTTCATACATCCCCACATATATTATTTTACTAAGGCTCGAGATAGGTTTTGTACCATCTATATCGGTACATGTTGAAATGTTATAAATAAGGTACAGTTGGATTCAAAATTTCATGGTGGCTCAGCAAATCATTCTCTCTGTTTTATCTTTCTGAAATATAAAGTCAATTTATAAACATTTCGCTTGGCTACAATACTGAGACAGTGGTAAATTGGTGGATCAAGACGGGAAATATTGGGATTTGAAGATTTTGATGTGGACATCAAGACCCATTAATTTCCTTTATAACTAATGCACTCTGTGTTTAAAAGTCCAAAAATGTACCATTTTCTAATGTAAAGGATTTGCTGCAACATAGGTTCACATTAATTATAGTGCTGTCATGGGATACATACCTCATGTCGTCAACGAGGTTCTTATGAACGAGAAAGGAGGAATTCATATTATTTCTCAAATTTTTTTTTTTTTTTGCTGTTAACCATGTCTTCGTTAATTCTTTATCAAATCCAATGATTGAGCTATTGTTTTGAAGATTTTCTTCTTCAGGAGTGAAAAATATTTGACATCAAAATTGTTTCAAAAGAAAAGAAGATATATTTGCGAATAACTATACAAGTATACATTTTATGGTTGATAGCACTGATTATTATTTAAAAGATTACTAATTTTCCTACAAAACAAAAACAAAAAATCAATGAAATCAACCACTATTAGCAAAGTTACTACTCATTTTAATTTGCTAACATGTTGGTTTAAAACATGAAGTTTTAAATTAATTTTCTTTACTTTGTTTTGTTATAATTTCCGAGAAAATAAGAATTGATTCTTCAATTTTATTATATGTTGCATAATTTTATTTCTCTTTTTGTTCACTGTCCAATATACTTTGCAAATTATTCGCACAATACTACTAGTTAATGTATAAATGACTTTAGGTTAATATGATACTTTATATGAATTATTGAAGAAAGTTAGTCGACTGTTCTACATGTCATGAGTGATACATATTCAGGACGCAGTCATTATAAAGATGTTATTGGTGCCGAATGTTTCAACCCAAACATGTGTTCCCAGTACTTGAATATCTTCTCGAAACACGCCCTGATGATGACCCACATGTTTCAGTTGAAACGTTGGCATCAATAAAAACTTTATAATGACCGCGTCTTGAATATTTATCACCCATGATACTTTTTAATTATTGCAAATGTGTTGAATTTGGAAAGTTTATTTATATATCTGCTCTCTTACGCTCTTAATTGTTAAGGCACACCAAATGCCAACGTATGCAGAATCTGTCACAGCGATTTATGGTATCTACATGGTGGGCAGCAATCTGGTTGTATTACTATCTATTACATTATTACACTCACTAAGAGCATAACCTATCGCAGAGAGCCATAAAAATAGAAAACAAATTCCTATAACAAAGCTGTGTGCTTGAGCTTTTATTGGTGCCACCAAGAATTTAATTTACAGTTAAGAACTAAATTAGCTTGAATATAACAACAAAATTACTATAAGTAGAGACCAGCTTTTCATGCAGTAAAAGAAAAAAAAAAACTCAAAATGTGCGAAATCATGTAGTAAAAATCCAAAATATGTACAATTATGTAATTAACACCCAAAACCACGCAAAATCATCAATGTTAATACATCAAAATACAAATGAACACAAAACAAAATATGTTATAATAAGCCGAAAATTCCATCCCAATAATAGTATCTGTGTAGAAGGAAAATCATTCCCGAGAGTAGAAAAATGAGAATACTTCGGCTCCACAATAACCTCAATGCATGACTAACGGGCAGAAATAGACCGCTTTCTTCTCCATTTCAAAGGTATTGAAAACCCGAAAAAACACAAGAAATCTCAAATTAAGGATGTAAAATGCTATGATAAAGCCAGTTCAAATATATGGCTGTGAGACCTAGACACTAAGCAGCACTCTAGAAAAAATTATTGAAAGATTTGAGGGGAAAATCCTCCACATGAAAACCGGAGCAACCTGGAATCAGAGAACTTACACATGGAGAAGAAAGACCAATTACGAACTGCTTACAGAAACAGATCAATCAATATGCCATCATATGAAGGCATGGAGGTTAAGATGGGCTGGGCATGTAACTCGTATCAATCCATCTGGAAGCCTCTACGTAAAAATGAACGCCTCAATAGAAGGCAAAAGACCACGTGGAAGACCAAAAAGCAGATGGATAGATAGAATGAACATAGATGTAATAGAGCTCCGTGCAGATAAATGGAAAGAAACAGGCAGAGATGGAGCAGGCTCGTTAAGGTGACAAAAGATCTACATGGTCTGTAATGCCAACAGAAAAAAAAAATGCATCAAAATCTTATTAAACTTATGCTAAGCTTCTAAAATAAAATAAATAAATTGAAAATACAACCTCAGTAATTGAAACAAGTCAGGGAAGAGGTGCTACTGAGTCCTGTCCTTCCCCATGTCTGGCATGTCATTATTTCTTTTATTTTCAATACATTTGCTCATTTTCAAGGTTAAGTTGACAGGTAAAAATAAATACTTAAAGCCAAAAGAAAATAAAGAAAGAGAAATTTAAATAATAATGAGTGTTAGCATTGACTTAATATCCTGTTCTATCATTTAACTACAAAAAAATCAAAAGATAAAACAACAAACATGGATGAAAAATCTATTAATTTTTTTTATGCATTCCATAAGTTTTTTTATTAAAATTTAAAGAATTTTTAAGAAACTTCAGGAATACACTGTAATATTATAGATGTTTGAGCATTCAAATATTAGTATGAAGTTTTTCTAAATTACTAAAAAAAAATTTTGGGGAGATTGTGCTCTTTCTAAATAAAAAAAAAAAAACATTAAATTCTTTAACAGGAATATTTTTTTCTTACCTGTTCTACAATGAGGGTCTATCTGCCGTGATACCCTATCATAGCCAATTGATTTTTCAGAAGGCATACAGAAGACGAATTTCTCATTAAAGTTCAACTCGGGTTAATTTGATATCCAGATTCTAATTTTTGACGAAAGACTAGATCTTACTTCGGCATTATTCAATTTTTTTATAAGAGAATTCAAGTCAAAACAATAACAGTAAATGTCTTTCTATCAAAACAGCTTATTAAAAAGGCAGTTTTTATTTTTATCCATTACTTTAGGCGGTGGGGGGTTTGAAGTTTTTAAATGCAAGCAAATAATATGTGCATTTACATTTAAATACTGTCTCTAACTATAAATCATCTTAATGCAAAGAATTAGTGTAAATATTTTTGATAAATTAAAAAAAATTGTGCCAGAATATTTTGTGTAACTTAACTTAGGTCTTCTCCGACCATAGGGGGTTGTTTGGATCCAAACTTAAAAAAGTTGTGGAAAATACCTCAGGAACTACTTCTAATATTCCTACCTGTTTTAAAAGTTGTAATTATTTCTGTATGTTCATAATAAGAGACCTAGATATAATTTAATAACATTTTTTGGGGGTCCAAGTAACCCTCTACTTGCTCCAAATATTCCTAAGTTTCAATATATTTAATATTGGTTCAAATGTACATTAAATCATTTTTTTAACAGCTATTTGTTTTTAGGTTTCTCAAGCCTCAAGCTACTGACATTGGATTTAATCAAAACCGTTCCTTAACCAAGTTTTCTCTTAGAAAGGGAAAAAGAAAGGCAGTGAAGCCTGTTGTAAAGCGCTTTTATCGTCTTAACTGGTGAGTGAACCTTAAATATATATTACTGAATCTTCATTTTGATAAGTATTGCATGAGATTTATACAAATTATTTGCACCACTATACCTAAATACATAGAGTGTCCAAGGAGAAATTTCTGTAAATTGAGAGAGGAGTAGTTTAACAAAACTGCTGTACAAGTACAAGGCTTCCAACCAGACTTTCCCATTTAAATCGTTGTCGAGGCATATTTTAAAACAGTTTTCAAGAAAATCACTTATATATATATATATATATATATATATATATATATATACAAATTTCTCTAATCTAATTAAATAATACTAAATTTTTTTCACTATTTTAAAAACTAAGATGAATTTCCTGTAAAATAGTGGCCAAATTGTAGGTAATATCTATTCTTTAGACGATCATAACAGCCAAAGAAATTTTAACAAAAAAAAAATTATTCATTTTCAGATGTACTCCGTGGAATCTCTCACAATGAAATATCGAGCAACGATTTGTGGATTTCGAAAAAGTTCCTTCATTTCATCAGCTTTCCAACAATGTGTCAAACATTATAAAACTAGCTCAATATAAATAAAAATATCAAGGTTGGTAGGTCCAAAAACGTGAGATACATATATGAGTAGCTACCTAAACTTGTTTTTTGCTGGTTTTTACTATCTTGTTCGTTAGGATTGAGATTAGTTTATTACTGCAAACATTCGGAATGCCTTTTATTGTTCCTGTAATCATCTTTGCACGATTGAAAAAGTTTATTTATTGACTAAATTATGCATAGTACCAAATTTATGGTTTCTAACAAAATGGTAAAAAAGATTTAATAAATAAATGTGTTCTTTACAAAACTAGATAATATGAAAATACCATTATCAAAGAGGGAAAAGATCTTCATAATGGATTGAATTTTTAGTAGGAATTGGTGCTAAAAAAAAAAAACTGTTCAGAATGCTGATCTTGGTGGAGCCATAAACATATGTGTTCTGCAGGATCAGTATTCTTTCAATTTATGGTTGGGGATAATTAGTTAGGTCCTTCATACCAGAAGAAAAAAATTCTTGGCATTCGTGTCATTTTAGGTATTTAATAATGTTTTCTGTTCTCCCAACCTTGGTAAAATTGGTACGCCATTGGATAACTGATAAAATGGAGCAACTTTTTTAAAATCCTTTAGACCATGATCATAGCTCGAAATTATTGTACAACATTCCAATAAAGAAACCATTACGCCATTCAGCATTTAAGCCCTGTTAGACTATTTCAATGAGAATAAAACCTAGCTGATATTATAGCCCATAGGTGGAGAATCTTTTTATCAATATTTAGAAGTTTCAGTAAAATTATTCAGAGCTAATAGAGGCCGCAACAATTCTTTATATTTTATTGTTGCTATTTTTATTTATCACTAGCAGGCACCCATATACATATATCCAAGTTAAATCTATTAATTTCCAAATTTTTGTTACTTAAATATTAATTAATTCAAGAACTATATTAATAAATATCATGAAAAAACATTTGGGGCCACAGGTTTCCCACCTATATTATAAATAATTTAACTGTATAAAACCAATTTAATCAAAATTATTAGGGCCAGTAGTATTACTGAACATATCACAAACTATGTTTGTATTGGACATAGCATCTAAATCAGTTATAGAATTTGGGCGAGTGGTCATGCGAAATATTTTTATACATAACTATTAGAAAATAAAACATTATGTGTAATAATTTGCAGTGTTTTATAGTGTGTTAATAAACTTGATGGTATATTGGAATTGGAAACTAAAGCAGGATATTTATGTATCACATGACAAATCCTGGATTTTGGTTCAATCAACCAACATTTTCCATTTTCTTGTTTGTGTTCAATAATGCATTGTTGTATTTCATGACACCGTTAGTTTGGAAATATTTTACGAAAAATGACTCCGGCAATGTCGTGTATAATTTATATTACAGGAAACTAATAAAACAAGTTGAAATATCATTTTATTTATTAAACAATGTTTATAAATAGATTCTTATTTGTGAAACAAGTACATTAACCTTTTAGCAATGATGAGCGGGAAGGTTGGAGCTTCCTTGAGGATGGAATATTTTTCATTACCTCTTCTGACCACTTACGCGTTGTTTTTTTAAGCCATCGTTCAAAAATGTTTGCGATCTCCAGTCACAGAAAAATTGAAATTCCATGAGCAATACAACAATTTTCTTCCCATTAGGATAGCTGGATATATTGTTACCCTTAGTAATAATTTAATTTCTTGAGTTCACCTACTTTTGTTTTTATACATTGCAGGGGTGTTTGGATTCGAACCATCTGCGGACGACATAAGAAGCTATACAAGAAATCAGCTAACAGGAAAAGGCGACTTAGGCGGCATGTGTTCACCACTGCAACACAAAGTTGGCTACTAGATAAAATGGTGACGAAGTTCTGGCGAAAACCTAGATTTTATGTAGATGATCCATATGAGCCATACCATAAGAGAGAAGAATTTTTTATCACAAGGAAAAGACCTTTTGTTCCTTACAATTAACTTTAGATAATTTATTTAAAAGTTGTTTCATTCATGTATTGTTTATAGATTTTTAATAATAAGGTTTTTTTTTTGTTGTTTTTGTAAATGTCAAGTTCACAAAAATTTGCTTTCTTTCTTTATTATGAGCAAATATATTGGGTTGGCAAATAAGTCCTTTTGGTTTTTCAAGGTGAAATAAAACTGAATGTATTACAGACATAATATTTATTTTAATCTACAGTATATTGACCATTATTTAATATGACATTTTCCCATCTTTCCACTAACTGCATAATGCCATGTTCATAGAATGTCTGGAGTTTATTGTTAACAAACTGATCTAAGTGGTGTTTGGTGTCCTCTTCCTTTTGGAATTTCTTTCCATTTATGGAGTTCTGCAGAGACCAGAAGAATAAGTGGTACTCACTTGGAGCTAGGTCTGGTGGAAAGAGAGGGGGGAAGGGTTAACTCCCTTCCAAGGCTCAATAATTTATTGCGAGTGACCAATGAGGTGCGGGGCCTAGCATTGTCTTGATGGAACACAACACCCTTTCGATTTGCCAGTTCTGGGCGTTTATTTATTAATTTATTAACCTAGGAGCCTCACTACTAGGTTCCCAAGATATATGGACTACATTATCGTAAAATATCCATTTTTCATCTCCTGTTACCAAACTTTTCAAACCTTAACATTGCTCATTTTAATTTGCTACCAGACTGTTGAGGATCATTGATGCTAAACTTTCCTGTATGAAATTTGGCAAACCAATTTTGACAAGTGCGATGCGATTGGTTAAGGCATCATCCCCATAAACACTGCAAATTTTCTATGAGCTTCTGCAGCACGCTTACTTTTTAAAAAATAATACAACAAAATATGCCGATAATGAATATCTTCTCCCATATTCACAGTGCAATAGCAAACACAATACTAAGCTAGTTTTAACAAGAGTTAACAGATATAGTTGTTGACATATTACAAACAGGATAACAATCCACCTTAGGGATTAAGAAGTGTATCATAGTGACATAAAAATAAACAGAAAAACCGAAAGGACTTATTTTCCAACCCAATATATGTAATATTTTAGTATAACTACTTCTTAAAAAATCATGAAGAGCTTTTAAAGAAAAGCTTCTCATCATGATTTGCTACATATCCCGCAATGTCTGAAAAAACTGCTCACAGATAAGTGTATATTTTTTTAAATATCTGCTTATGTTTCGGACCAAGTTTATCAATGCTAAGCAAAACAAGATAAACATGCCCATTAAAAATAAGAATTCTGTTGGGGCTGATCCAACAACTTCTTAAATTAGATACATCTATAATCCATAATATCTGTACTATTAAAAAAGCTTTTTTGCTCATAACTTTTTATTATAGGATATTCAAGACAACTAGAAAGATTACTCTAAATTATTAAACCAGTGTTTTAATCTCTGCAAAAGATTGAAAGGGACTTCCTGGTAAAGGAACCACATCTTCTTGATCTGGTGCCATCCAATCCATTGGTTACCTATATGTCTGATAGACATATAGGTGTGAGAAAATAATATATTGAAAAGAAATGATAAAGGAGAACTATAAAACAAAAATACAGTTTATATAGCTCAAATATGATAATTTATTTTAAGTTTTCACTACTATACTATATTACTAGTTGCAAAATATTATTTCGTAATTATGGTTAGTTCAATTCAAGTTCAATGTTTGGTCCTATTTAAAGTATAAGATAAAGATAGACAAGACATTGAAAATAAAGCTAAATCCTCTTTTCATCCTCCGAAGCATCTGTTATTGGAAAATATATTCATTTATTTTACTTCAAACCAAAAAGCTCATCTGTCCTAACTAAATTGTATGTTTTAAGTTTCCCTATTCTATCATCTGATAATCATCTTTCGCATTTTTGTAACCAAAACCCACAAATGTTGAGAAATTACTGTATTTCAAAAACGTCTTCTCCTGAAGATTGTATTCTCTAACAAAACATTATAGACCTTGAAATATAGGTAATTGTGTAACCAATGAAAATGGTGAGGAAGCTATACTTACCTTGTTTGGCAGACATCTTTCATTCATTTTTGTTCATTTAGTTATTGTTTTAATAGTCTCTAGAGAGCAGGATAACTCAGTGGGTAAAAACTGATGACAAGTTACTTTTTATTGGATCAACCCTGGGATTGGGAGACCCTCCTGGGGCACACCCAGCCTCTATAAAATGGAAGCTCTTAATTAAAAAGTTAATTAAAGGAGAAAAACCTAGCAGTTGAGCGTCATCCGGCGCAACGACCTTCCTGCATAACCGTTAGCCTTGAAACAGTACTTACAAAGTACTGAACTCAAGACCCTTCACGGGTTGAAGTGGTACAGGTTTTTTTTTAATTATCCCTGCCTTTATATTTTATTATTTTTGTATTAGCTAATACTAATTTACATTCAATATAAAAACTGTATTGTCATTTTGTAATGCCCATTTAATTTTATTCTAAAGAGTCTTCGTCCCAGAATAATGAGGAATTTTTTTTATTTAATTTAATTTTCACTGTATTTAACTTCTTATTAAAGGGGTTAATAAATGAATACAGAAAAGTGAAAGTTTAACCAATGTCTGAATATGATGAATCCATTCTTTAAAAATCACTGTGCAAAAACTAAATTTGGTTAATTCGCATGTGATAATAGCCAACATGATTTACATAAACAGAATTATAATAGAACACATCGTAAGCTCCTTAGAAGCGAGAGGTGTGTCACCGAATCTTAAAAATGTCATATCAGCTCTCCTTAGCACGAACACTATAAAGGTTAGTTACGGTGTCCATGCAACTAGCCAGGTCAAAGTGCTGCGCGGTGAACCCCAAGGCGGCCCCCTGTCGTCTTCATTTAAAGAAATTAGTGTGGCTATAAATCCTCAAGAAAGCATGGACATCTTTATAAATAAACGAGAGGTGGAAACTACGGTGCTCTCCCTTGAGAATGGAGAGTACATCCAAACAGTGAAGAATGGAGATACGATTAAGTATTTAGGATGTACATACTCGGGATTGCTACAATTCAACGAAGATTCGGTGACTAAATTGACAAGCTGGTAACCTCTTGCTTACTTAAACCTGAGCAGAAACTCAACATTGTCAATTAATATCTGTTCCCGGGTCTTACTTACCCTCTCCAAACTGCGCCCCTAACAAAGCTACGTCCTGCTATACTGGAGGGCATCGACACTATGATTCGCAGGAGCGTAAAGGCCATTATTGGACTGCCTGCGAATACTTCCACAGCGATGTTGTATGCCCCCAGGAGATACCGAGGATTGGGATTAATCCGCTGCCAATGGGAGGCTCCTCTTCAACATTGGTCCATTGCTCAGCGACTGTCCAATGTACCAGATGCCCTTTTTCAGTCTACCTTCGATTATTCGGCTGAAATTGCTGAATGTGCCGAGAGATTGGGGGTTGATCAGGGTCATCGAAATGTGAAAGCTCTACGGCAGTCGCTACGAGAAAATGCATTTGAGGAATGGGCCAACTGCAGGTGGCAGGGTATTGGTGTTCGCCATTTTAAAGAGACCCCGAAAGCGAATAGATACATCTACGAAAAGCAAGTACTTTCTGGGTCTGAATGGTCGAATGCCCTAAAACTAAACATTAATTATGCACCCCTGCGTGGAGTCCCAGGAGTCAGCGGACAGGTCAGAGAAGTTGGGTCCCTCTGCCGTAAATGCGGCAGAGAGTCTGAAACACCAGCACATGTGCTGGGAAAATGCCCCAACAACTCCCTCCTCATAACACGTCGTCACCACCGGGTCAAGTTCGAATTGATGAGGCTCCTTAGGGAAAAAAAATTCACCTGCTTTGACGAGGTATATTGCATCGATAGTGAGGGCTCTACGAGATACGCTGATATCGTCGCATTTCCCAAGACAGGAAGGACAGCGCTGATCTTGGATCCAACTGTCCGCTTTGAGAGCAATGACCTCGATCAGGCGGGTGAAGTGGAAAGGGAAAAGAAGAACACGTACGATAAATGTATCCCTTTCCTAAAAGAGAAATTCCGTGAGACCTTCGGAGAGAGAGAGTTCACCGTGAGAGGCCTCTGGTTTGGGTCTCGCGGAACTATCCCAAAAAGAACAAGGAGCTTCCTCGAGGAACTAGGTGTCGACATTAAGGACGTAGCGAGGTTGGCTGAAAATATAGTCCTCGACTCCCTGGGAATCATTCACCACCACGTGCATGGCTAGCCCGAGAGTTTTAATTTATGTATTTGTTTATTTATTTTTTTAGTGAATAATTGAAAACAATAGCGATAAAGAGAGAGAAGTGAGAGAAAGGGAAACTTAATGTTAAATAAAAAAAAAAAAAAAAAAAAAAAAAAAAAAGCATGAACAATGAGAAGAGGGAAAAAGAAAAAAAAAAAAAAAAAATTATAAGGATAAATAAAATAATAAAAATGTATATATATATATATATATTTCTGTTTTACTAATATTAACTAATACTTCTGTATATTTATATATAAGTTCATATATTGTCTTAAGGATAGAAGAGTATGCTGTGTGTATAGCAACCCAATGTAATTGGGCAGCAATCCTTTATATTTTATATTTTATTTAGATAAGAAGGAATAGATTTGAATTGAATTGAACAGAAAACTGTTCATCAGTCAAACTTAACAGTTATTGAATGAAAAGGTTCTGGGAGAAGGGTTAATTAAGACAGAGTCAATATTAAAGGAAAACTACAGTTGCGGTCATAGAAATCGCATCACATATTTCTTTTGATTCTTAAGTTGATAACAATTGTATTCAATGTTTTTGTTTACTTATTTAGGTTACAAGATTACTTTAACAATGTTTTTCAGTTCATTTTTAACTAATACCAGGATAAAAGCTGTAATTATTGCCAGTAACAAAAATCTGTCCTCGTCCGAAAATATTAAAATTGTGACGTTAGATGAAGTGAAGTAATTTTCACAGGAAATATTAACGAATATAGGATACCACCAATCAACAGTA